TAATAGGTGCGTTTGGGGGGAAGGGAGGGGGGGGAGCGCGGGTTGGTTGTACGGGCTGGGGGGCTGGTGTATTTGTTGGTCTGTAGCACAAGGCTGTAAACCTGGCGCGCGTCCCCGCGACCAAGCGCCAAACGAAACCCATAGCCAACCATTTTCGTCTTTGACACAAAAAAAAAGCCCTGCTGCATTGTGTGTATATACCCTGTTCCATCAAGGGTCGACTGACTGGCTGTAATGTGCCCCGCCCACAGCCCGTTGACAAGCAAACTGTTGGCCTGGTTAAACGCGTGCAGCCTCCATTGCACCACAACCCCATGCGCGCACATGACCAAATCGTCTCCCCCATTCCCCATGTCGTCTCGATTACATGTCGCAGTGCACATAGCTACATACACATACACACAGACCTGTACCCCTCCACTCTAGCGTTTGCCTTACCATGTATCCCTCCTCGCCCTCGCACATATTCATCACGCCATCAGCAGCCCTCCCCCCTTTGCAGCATCCACCCAGTGCCTCTGAGCGTATGACCGACAGCTTCTCGATTGAATGTGAGACACTCGGTTGGGGGATCCCTCCCCCACTCCACCTGGAATCCTCCGCCTCCACATCGACTCTATCGTTTTCCTTTCTTCTTTTCGCCCATGTTTCAACATGCACTGCTGAGAGGGAGAGGAATCATGCATCACTGTCCAGTTGTTCGTTTCCCAGTGCGTGGTTATGATACGTGCATGTGCGTGTGGATACCAGAATGTATTTGCTGGCTTTTTTCTTTTTCTTTTTTCTTCTTCTTCTTCTCTTTTGTTGGTTTCGACAGCGTACTCGCTATTACGACTACTACGTACAGACATGCACATGGGTGTCTTCGCCGCCGCCGCCGCCGCCGCCCGCGCGTGCATGCATGTCTCTTCTAGACCAGTCCAGCGTACGTAGCGTAGCGTAGCGAAGCGAACAAAAAATATGTAACAGTGTGTAGCCTGGGTCTGATCTGGATCCCATCTCGTTAAACCTGGGGTAAGGCGCCGCTTCCAAGGCGGAGCACACGAGGAGACGCCAGAGGGCTGCTTGGTGCGACGGTGCATGTGAGCTATCAGAGTGTTGAGGGAAAAGTTACTGCTGTTGGGATGGTTGTGTATCTAGGTCAAGTTATGTGCTAGGCATGTGATGTGGGTTGAGTCTAGGTTGTGCATATCGAGTACTTTGATCTTTACTAAAGACATGACATGGACTTTACTATGTCACTGCTCTCTCCCCTCTGTTGCTCACTGACAACCTTCTCCCATGACTTGGGCTGGACTAGAACACAATCCGGGCGGACTAGCATACAATGCTCAATGCGAGACGCATGTATGCAGGCCATGTCTGATACCGAGCAGCTGTGCAAAGTTTACCTGAGACATTGCGCATACATACGTGTACGTGCAAGTCTCCATGTATGTACAAAGGATGAGTCTCGGAGCATCCTGCATGCAGCCCTCATGTCTGTCAGTCTATCTTTGGGGAAGCTGGCGAGAAGGGCGGATGCATGCTGAGCAGAGCTTTCTTGGCTTGGCCGGAACCCTGGCCAGAGTTGAGGCTGTGTTTCGTATTTATGGGCTGCCGACGTCATTTGACTTTGTTGTTTCGAGTCGAGACAGACACTTGTGCCTCCTTTGCTTCCACCCCCGCCATACTCTACTCCATCATTCTAGACCTGACAAGCGAACGAGGTATGGTTGAACAAAAAGCACCGCCTGCCTGCAGTGCAAACAAGCTACGGCTCGTGCCGCATCACATTGCATTGTCCGCGCAGCCGTAGCTCATGCTCCCGCTTCCCTTCCCACATGCGCATACCCCCCCCCTCCCATCTGACACGCACAGCCGAAGCAGTACCACTGGCCTAGTCACGCATCCCGCCATGTCTATCCTCTTCCCATCTGACACTTGGCCATTCATCCCGCTTGCTGACCCTCCTCCAAGCCAGTTTCCAATACTCAACGTCTGCACACATACACACATAGGCCGCCGTCTCTGTCCACAAAGCCCCGAAGAGAACAACACTTGCAATCATGTGTCGTTGTCGTTGTCGTTGTCGTCGTCTACTCTCTCCTCAAGCATAACTCGGCATGGTACCACAGCATACCGCCCTTTCTAAACCTCCCCAATCCTACGTCTTGCTATCCCCCCAAACTCATCTACCTGGCACCCCACCCCACCCCTTCAATCCCGTTAAACAAACAAAAAATGCAGTCAAATCCGCATAGGGTATCGGCTCCAGAAGCCCGGAATCCGGTCATGCGGCCTTGCGGCGCCTTCGCTTGCTTGGCTTGGCTTGCGCATGCGCATGCACCTGCAGCGCTGTGCATGAGCTACGTGGGCGATCGATTTGCCGAGATGCTTGAATGTCTTGCTTCACGTCCACGCCTCTATCCACCCCCGCTCTTGCGCGTGGCGAAACCGGGTGGGACTGCGCTGGCATCTTGACTATGTCCATGACGGCAGCATGTCGTGTGACGAGGCTGAAACTTGTTGACTGGAAGAGAGGGGATCATGGGGGTGGGGATACTAAGCGAGAGACGTGGAGATTTTGGGTATCGACATGGTGTTGCGGAGACGACGAGGTTGGGTAGCTGTGGATGGGCGTTTTGGGGTGGAAACAAGTGCTTGCTCTGGATGGTGAGGGGTCCAAGGTATCAGAAGGGGAGTGAGCGGGGTGTGTGAACGTAACCGTAGTATAGACCTAGTCCACGTGAGATATCAAAGGATCTGTCGTCATAACCCTCATCTTCCTCATTAGCTGCAACCTTACCAGCACTGGGTTCCATCAATCCGAAAAGAGTCGGCGGCACCCTTGCCAGCATTCCTGGCGAGCAAAGTGTTTCCAACAGCCAACATCGTGAGACGGATCAACAACCATGCTGCAAACACCTAACTAGCCCCACCACAAAGTGCGCGCGACCACAAAGTGCGCGCGCGCCTTACAACCACCTCAACCTCAACGCGTCGTATCCCCACCACCATGGCTAATATTGAGGCTGCGCTTGCAGCTATTAATGCCCTAGGACCTGATGAGCCTTTTTCGTATACAGATATTGCAAAAAAATATAGTGTTGTTCGATCTACGCTTACCCGAAGACACCAAGGCCTACACGCCTCACGCGCGATAGGTGGCCAAAAACGGCAGCTCCTCCACCCACAGCAGGAGCAGGCCCTAATCGCCTATATCAATCGACTAACAGATAGAGGCTTACCACCTACTCAGCCAATGATACGCAATTTTGCCTCACAGATCGCCAAGACTGAGGTTGGAGTACACTGGGCTAGTCGCTTCGTCCAGCGCTATCCTGA